TAACAACAACAAACACAGTAGTTTTTCACAAGTGGGGTCTGGGGAAGGTAAGATGTACGCAGCCTTACCCCTACCCCTACCCCTGAAAGGGCAGGGAGGCTGTTCCGATAGATCCCCGGCTAGATAACGGCTGAAAAAGAACAAGTAATTGCAACAAGTAGGAATAACAGCAAGATGAAATAAGATCGAATCCAAGAATGCAGTCAAACTCTAGGTAGTAATAGCCATTTATGAATAAAAGATATCATACTAACACTAATGATAGCGAACCGAGTAAGACAAAGAGAAACACTCGACTATCTACGAACCTTCTACCCTAATTTCTGACCTCAACACTCTCCTGTTTAGGCCCATGTTCTCAGTCAGCTCCAGTTGCGCCATGTCCCATCTAATAACCTCTCCCCAAGACTTCTTAGGCCTACCTCTACCCCTCATGCTGCCCACCGAGGCTAACCGCTCGCACCTTCTAACTGGGGCTTCTATACTTGTCCTCTTAACATGTCCGAACCATCTCAACCTCGCCTCCCACATCTTATCCTCCATGGGGGTCACTCCCACCTTTTCCCGAATAACTTCATTCCCAATCTTATCCAACCAGGCATGCCCACATATCCACCTCAATATCCTCATCTCATCTACTTTTAGCTTATGGGTATGAGAGTTCTTGACCGGCCAATACTCTGTTCCATACAACAACGTCGGTTTAACTACAACCTTGTAGAACTTACCTTTAAGTCTCACCGGCACATTCTTATTCCATAAGACATCGGAAGCGAGCCTCCACTTCATCCATCCTGCTCCGATATGATGCGTGACATCTTCATCAATCTCCCCGTTACCTTGTATTATAGATCCAAGATACTTGAAACTAGCTCTCTTAGGGACGACTTGCATATTAAGCCTCATCTCCATATCTCCTTTCTGGGTACCGTTGCTGAATTTGCACTCCATGTATTCCATCTTGGTTCTGCTCAACTTAAAACCCTTAGACTCTAGGGTCTGCCTCCAAACCTCCAACTTCTCGTTAACACCACTCCACGTTTCGTCAATTAAAACTATATCATCTGCAA